TCCTCCTCAGGACTCATGTCTTCTTGAAGATCCTCTTGGCCTCTCTTACCTATCAGCTAAAATAAGCTAGGCATTTCCTTGGTGACCAATGCACTTTATTATAGCCTTATTAAAAGGTTTATTACCTTTCATAACATAGTCATAGATCTCATTCCACAGGTGTCCTTAGTTCTAAAATCTCAAAAGAATAGTGTTGCTTTTAATTCCTCACATGTTACTTATTTCTTAACCACTCGGAGTGTAGCTCAATGGTTAATTTATAATGACTCCTTATGTCCAAAAATCTCTTCTCTCTTTTCACCTTATTTCATACTTGTGTAGCATTTTCACTTTTGCCCCTGTGAAAGGGTTGTTTGACCCCCAAAGGGGTCGCAACCCGCAGGTTGAGAACTGCTGCTCTATACTCTTCTTGATACTCTGTATTTTTCCTATTTTCTTTTGCTGTACCAGCCTCTGAATAATAGGGTATTCTTGAGTTCTCTTGGTAGACCATTTCTCTTTTCACTTGCCATTTTCTTCATTTGAAAGTTCATTTATGTCTTTTTACCATTGTATGTACACATGACTTTTTGGAGCCTCGTATTTAATTCACAACCCATCTCAGACACCTTCAAACTTACATTTAACTGAGTAATCTGTTTCTAATTCCAGCTTGGTTTTGCTCTTGGTTTATAAAACAGATAGCTTTTTTTCATTATTGTTGACAGTATTACAGATGTCCTTCCTTATTTTTTCCCCATTACCCCCCTCCACCTGGCCCCTTAATTAACCTGGCATATTCTCTTCATTAATTTCTCTTTTTTTTCCTTCTTTTTAGTAACTTTATTTTAGTTGTTAACACTATTACAGATGTCTCTGTTTTTCCCTCTTTTGCCCGCCTCCACTGAGTCCCCCCACCTACACACATTCTCCTTCCCGCTGGTCATCAGCAAGATTGCATCCCGTTGCCTAAGATGCCCAGCACCATTTCCATAATCAAGGTCATCATATTTATCCTTCCCTCTTTCAAATACCTATTTGAAAGAAATTTCCTATTTCTATTGAATTATGTCAAATCATATATTTGAAATTCAAAAGCAATTGTGATTTTACTCCTTCAATCCCCTATAACAACTTATACTTTATACACTGTTTCCTTGAATCTATCAAATGCTATATATTACTTTTCAAGCACCTACATTTCCTACAGCCAAAAAAGTTTATTTCCTTTTAATCATGTCTCAAAATTGTACCCATTCTCTTAAGTTCCTACTAGAATAACAGCTCCTTAAAGACCAGCTTCCCCTGCTCACATTCAGCAAAAGTGTCCATTCCTTCAGTCCAGACACACCAAATTATGCACATTTAAGCCCATATGCTATAGTGTTAGCTAAATTTTATAACAAATTCTCAGGGAGTTAAGACACAGGCATTGCATATAATCAAATAGAAACACAAATACTCATATAAATCTGGTTTTAAATGATATCTGCAATTAACAAATAATATGGATATTGCGAGTTCCTTAACATTTTGGTGTCTAATTTCTTCATAAAAATATGGAGAGAAATGCTATCTCATCATATTTTTGTTACAATCACACAAGATAAGTCTGTAAATGGCACAATGCCTGACATAGAATTTGTACTAAGTTTTTTTTAAAAAGGCTATTATACAGCCAGGCAGACCAAGAACAAATATTACATGATCTCACTTATTTGCGGAATATAATTAACATAACAGTCTGAGGAACAGGGTAGACCCTGAGACGTGGAAGTAGGGTACAGACTGACAACCCTCAGAAGAGGGGTGGGGAGGAAGGTAGAGATAAACCACAGAACTTATATGCATGTACACATAACCGATGGACATGAACAACAAAGCTGGGGACAGGGTGGGGGGATGGTACAAAGGGTGTCAATGAGGATAAAAGGAGAAACATCTGTAACAAAAATAAATTAATAAAAATAAATTTAAAAAAGGCTATTATAGTTATTATGTTTGAATAGAAAAAGATAACAAGTATTTATCAGGTAAATAAGTCTCCATGACATTTTACAAAACTCTTATAACAGATTTACCAAGGATTTTACCTAAACCCACCATCCATAATCCTTTTATGAGATGTGCTGTTACAGAGAAAGGATTATTCCTCTTATGTACAAAATATTGATTTTTGCCTTGGCTGCTATGACTCTGTTGGTTGGAGCATTGTCCCATACACCAAAAAGTGATGATTCTATTTCCCTGTCAGGTCATATACCCACATTGTAGGTTCAGTCCCTGGTTAGGGTGTGTACAATAGGCAACTGATTGATGTTTGTCTATCACATCAGTGTTTCTCTCTCCCTCTCTTCCTCCTTTCCTCTCTCACTTAAAAATCAATTAAACATATTCTCTGGTAAAGATGTTAAAAAAAACTTTTTTTCCAAGATGTTGGTTTGGAGTTAATGATTTATTGTTCCCAAATCATGTGGCCCTGAGAGCTGAGCCATTTGACTTACATGACTAATCTTCCATCATAGACTTGTTATCTTGTCATTTTTCTCATTGCAGCATAAAACACTAACAACTGCTCAGGTCATCATGAAATTGTGGCCTCTGTGAAGCCCTGAGTATCTCTGGCGCTCCTATAGCATTCCCCCACGATGGAGATCTGGAGGACCCACCAAGTGCTAGAGACCTAATTGTGTCCTCAGTAACCTGGGAATTGAGCTAGAAAGTCACTCTTCTCCAGTGATTATCTTTAGGTATTAAACAATTGCAATTACAGACAGACTTCCTTCATCAGATGTGAATTGTTCCCTTGTTAAAATGCTCCCCAGCATTTCTGGGTAGAGATATTAGGAAGAAATAATTTTCTAATCATGCAGAATTCTTGGAATTAAAACCTACTATTGATTTTTTTCAAACCACAAAGTTAACATGCCATTGAATACAGTATATAAATAGCCTCAAAAACTAACAGACCATCATCCACTTAGCTCCTCTTTCACTTCTTGTCCTCCCCTTTGGAAAAAAGGTAAGAATTTCAGATTTAAATTTGATGTGTCTTCTCTTCAGCTTTATTTCAAACAGGTTGAGGTATATGAAGAAAAAATATTTTTTAAATATAGTCTTTGAAATAAAAGTATTTGAGGTAGTACTCACTTTATTTTCAATACTTAGGTTATAAAAAGTAGAAGTGTTTATGCAGATTTGATAGAAATTATAATGACCACATAATGAGTCTAAGAAAATGTAGTAATGGTGGTCCATATTTTTAAGTATAAAGCTACTTAACAGGCTATATTAAAAGATCTAATTTCTAAATTAAATCAGTGTTCCTATTTTATTAAACATATCACAGTCATAAAAGCAAATATATTTAAATTTTGTAAGGGGATATGATTAATTATTGCGAAAGCTTTATTCATCAGGTAGTTTACAGAGGTAAAATATTGAATCATGATACTATGAAATTTCTTTGGGAACACAAACTACTTGAAATGCTTATAAATAATTTTTTTAGAAGAGTGTAATCATCAAACTTTTTTACAACATTCAACATCCCACTTTATTGTTCAATTTATAAGATTTAAAAAAATATGAAAATTGGCACACGAAATATAGAATTCAATTAAAAAGAAATTATGTTTTACTTTGTAACAAAAATTCTAGAAGAGAAAGAAATAACTTGAAAACATAAACAAAAGGGAGATTTTAAAGAAAAAATGTCTTACACTACATTTTTTCATAATAAAATTCTGGCTTAAAATTTGGTGTATAAAATACACAAAGTGCAATTGGATCTTCCCTACTCATAATGATCTCCAATATAGTAACATACTTTTTTGAGATTTGTCAATAAAAAAATTAATTGGAAACTTACAGAGGTCTTAAGCAAAGTAAAATTAATAATTATATAGCACCCATGAGAAAAATCTCAAAAACATAATTTTGCCTAATAAAGAGAAATATTTTCAGCCTTAAATATAGCAAAGGATATTTTGCAGATGAATTAGGGACTTTTTCATAAATAACTGAGGTTCAGAAATTTAGTTTAGAAATCTAGTATTGAAGATTTTATGTCAAAATATACTGGTGGCACAAACATTCTTTACAAAAAATTATAAGGATGGAACAAAATCAAGCATTTAGTACATTTTGGTCAACTGTGTTAACAAATATGCTATGTTATGCTATAATAATAAGAAGCCTGCAGTGGGGCTGAGCAAGAGAAACTGATGCTTTGGTAAATCATCAAGAGAGCAGAGAAAAAAGATGAGGCATAGTGTATGACTTCTAAAGTTATATGGCATAAAGGAAAAGAGACGTCGTTGGGTATGTGGAGATGAAGACTGTGTAATGGTATACATAGAGAAAAATAATGAATCAGTGTTAAGGAAACATCTGGATAAGAGGAGCAAATAAATGAAACCCTCAAATACATATCTCAGTCTTACTAGAAATAGGGACATATGATTAAACCAAGTATTCATGAAAACTTTTTAGTAAAGAAAATGCTAACATAAAATGTGATCTTCTACGTACACATTTTCTTTAATCAGTCTGTTCCCAGTAGGTCTGAGGTACAACAGGGCTGAGACCTTCATATTTTGTTCACTGTTGTAAACTGAGCACCTAGACCACATCAGGCAGTAAAAGGTGCTAAATAGATATAATTCATTTTTGAATACATAAATCAATTAATAAAATTCATATAACTATTGAAAACCTCTGTCTTTCAAAATAAAAACCTTATTGTACTGTGAATGAGATATAAAAAGTGAGATAAGTTACTGCTGATGGGTGAAAAAAATGAATGGCTGGCAATGAGGTATAAAATTGATATGTAAGACTAAAGAGCCATAGAAGATTTTTACTTTGGCTATCTAATAAAATTTATATTAGTATTTTTTCTAAAATGCAGACACTTGAATTATCTTTTCTTCTTGAAAAGGAAAGTAACCCTACCTAATGAATAAAATATATAGTTGACAACCATAATACCATTTTCTCATTCACAGGACTTGAGAGCCATGAAGGTCCTCATCCTTGCCTGCTTGGTGGCCCTTGCCTTTGCATGGGAGGTAAGAAAAATCTCTGAATGATTAACATTAGTGAATTATATTTCCATGTGTAGAGAACAACATCAACAAGTTTTTAAATGTACAAATAAAGCAGAATTACAACAGATTTTTTTATGTACTTTTAAGAAAATCATGTCCAATCTCCCACTATTTCAATAGTGTTCTATAGGGCCAAAATCTGGGTTAAATGTTTTCTACACCACTGAACCACTGGTCCCTAGAAAAAGAACAAACAAGTAAATTTGCAATAGACAAAACAAGAAGGCGCAAACATTAAAAAAAAGAATAATATTGCACAAACACAATTGCATACATGTGCAACCTAAATAAATATATCTTATTCCAGTCATGAAACTTATGTACCTCTTATCCTAGGGCATTAGGTCAAATTCTACCTGAATCTATCCAAAGACATCTAGAGGATGGAGCATCAGGCAATAATCATAATCATAAACATATTTGTAATAATAATAAAAAGTGTTTACTAGTGTTACCCATCAAAAATTGTTTTCCAGCCTGGCCAGTGTGGTTCAATGGATTGAGCATCATCCCACAGACTGAAAAGTCCCAGTTCAATTTCCAGTCAGGGTACATGTCCTGGTTGCAGGTTCAGTCCCCAGTAGGGGGCATGAAGGAGGCAGCCAATAGACCTTTCTCATATTGATGTTTCTATCTCTCACTCCCTTCCTCTCTCTAAAAAATCAATAAAAACATATTTTAAAAATTTTTCTTCTGCATTCAGATTTAATAAAAATATACAATTAGAGCTACCAAATATAAAAGATATCAAAACAATTACTTTTCAAGGTTTCAAAGACATACATGTTTTATTTCTTAAATTTGTGAAGGAGACAGCTCTACATAAAGAAGGTAAAAAAAATAAGCGGGAAAATGAGTTAGCTATGGACAATAAATGGTGGTGTTTTTTTTTTCTTTCCAGAAGGAAGAACTGAGCATATCCAATGAGGTAAGATATTTGTATTCAGAGAACATTTTCCAACCATGAAATAGTAGCATTCTTTGATGATCCATATGTTGATTTTGTTTTTTTCCTTTACAGGCTGTAGAAAGCATTTCAAGCAGTGAGGTAAGACAATGTTCATTCTGAGGCAATTTTCCATTTTGCAACAGTAAAATGCTGAACACTATATTGTGTTATTTTAGGGCATTTAAATCAATGTAACTAGTTCTTACATATAAATTCTGATGTAAATTTACATTGTATATATTGAAGGTGAAAATAAATGTCTACAGAATCCACTCTTCAAGCACTTTCCATGCTGGCTTGCTACCTGAAATTGTGTCACTCTGCTCCAACTCCCTTCCTTAAGTGAACTGTACGGTCTTCCCTCTGTCTTGAGGTCTCCACACTGACCTCATTCTCTGCTGTGACATTTATTGAGCACCTCTGTGGATCAGACTTTGACTAGGAGACGTGGTACAATCTGAAGAGCGGATGCCCATAGGAAAGAATGGCAACATAGTGGGTGGGCAGACATGCATTGGGACACATTTGGGTATTCCAATGGTCACTTTAGTAAATAAGAGGCACAGAGGCTCAGTTTAGTCTTAAATCTGCCTGGAAGAGAGAGTCAGGTAGATATTTATATGTGCACCACCTTTGGGGGTCTGTCATTACCTGCTATATAGTTCCTGAGTACACTTTATCTCTTCACAAAGGTTATCAGATCCTTAGGGAAAGTATTTAGTTCTTACAATTAACATGAAGCCTAAACATAACAAATGAACTAAGAATGAAAACAGAATCTATTAGTGGTTATTTTAGTGTTATTAATACATTTTATTCTTTTACCATCGTAAGGCCTGTTAGAGATCATTTGTTGTCATAGGAAGGGAACCATAGTGATAGCAAGAAGTGAGCATCTACTAAATGCCTCTTTTTGTACTGTATTCTCTAATTTTCTTTTCTTTCTTGATTGAATTCATCTGACTTTTTTCGTACAATAGGCTTGTACAGAATGGTCCAACATATAAGTTGTGGTAGTTATCCTGATATTTTAATGATATTATCAAGCAATTTGTCCACATTAACCTATTAAATGCCTTCATTTTCTGATACATATTGATAAATAAAAATTGTTAGTGAAAACTTTACCTACTTTATTTTATTTTATTTTTCTGAAGGAATTTATTGCACACATCATCAAGGTAAAACCTTCATATTTATTTAAATGTAAATATTTTCAAATTCTCCTACAATTAATTTTTACAAATCATAACATTTCTTTTCATGTGATTTATTTTTTAGCCAAGACCTGAGAAGTTTGAACATGAGAAACAGCAGGGAAGAGAGGTAATTTGTTCATGATGAGTATATTTTTAAAAATTTTATAAAATATAATAAATACAAAATATATGCATGGACCGTCTAAAAAATCTCTCTCTAGAAATAAATAAAGGGAAATATATATTTTTTAAATTATCTTTATGCACGGGCCAGGTGGCCCAGTTGGTTAGAGCATCATCCCATTCACCAAAAGGTTGTGGGTTCCATTCCAGGTCAGAGAATTTACCTAGGTGGCAGCTTCGATCCCTGGACTAGGAGCCTATGGGAGCCAAGCAATCGTTTCTTTCACATTAAAGTTTCTCTCTCTCTCTCTAAATCATCAATAAAAAATATATCCTTGAATGAGTAATTTAAAAATAACCATAAAATAAAATTACTCTTCATTTTATGAAAACAGTTTGGTCTACCATTATCACATTATGTCGAAAAGCTCATGCCCTCTGAATACCGAACTGCACAGCTACCCACAGCGATTGAAGGCAACTCACAGCAGGAGAAACAAGGCTGAAATCCCAAACATTGATTTCAGTGTGATCTGGGTCCTTCTATGAAGGGCGTGGGTTAATGAGAAATCCCTCCATGAGTATTTAACTCGTCTTCACATTACTCCATATAATTTCTTAACTGGCAAAAGTAAAAATTTTTCTTACTTTCATCAAGATTCTTCAAGAGAGGGAGGTTAATTCATCATGAATGACAATTATAGCTGAATTTAGACTTAAAGATTTATTTTTATTTTTTTTCCAGGATGAGCGCCAGGCCCAAATCCAGCCCATTGTCCAGCCGCAGCCTCTTTTCTATCCTTACGCTGAGCCCATCCCTTACCCTGTCCTTCCACAGAACGCCCTGCCTCTTGCTCAGCCTGCTATGGTGCTGCCTGTCCTTCAGCCTGAAGTGATGGGAGTCCCCAGTACCAAGGAGACCATCTTTCCTAAGCACAAAGTGATGCCACTTCTTAAGTCTCCAGTAGTGCCAATTATGCAGCGCCAAATCCCAAATCTCACTGATCTAAGAAATGCACAGCTTCCTCTGCCTGTGCTCCAGGCCCTGATGTCCCAGGTCCCCCAGACTCTTGTTCAGACTCCCATGCTTCCTACTCAGTCCCTGTTCTCCCTTTCTGAGCCCCAAGCCCTGCCTATTTCCCAGCAAGTGTTAACCTATCCCCAGGGAGATATAACCATCCAGGAGCCTCTGCTTGACTATACCTGGCCCTTCTACCCCATGACTCAGCCTGATGCCCCAGTTTACACAGTACAACAAGTAAGTCCTAATTTACTCACTCTGCTGTTTCATTCATGATGTGTATATGATATTAGAAGTGAGAGATCCAGAATAAAAGAATACATGAATATTGAATGGATCGAAAATGGATATAGTAGATCAGGGATTCTCAACACTAGTTACACAATAAAATAACCTAGAAAACTTGTTTCCCCCCAAATCCCAATGTGTAAGACTACTCACAGAGATTTCGATATAATTTTGATTTTATCTATATAGAAGATACTGAATATTTAGAAGAAATTGTTTCAGAGATTCTGAATTAATCTGTTGAGAATATAGATAAAGGGGATTAAGGCTTGTGGAAAAACAGAATTAATTTGGTATTCTGGGTGTGGAATAAAGAAGGTTTATTATTTTATACAGTTTAGAAGTTTCCTTGTGCACACCTGTTCACATGCTTTAATTCACATCTTGTTTTTGATAAATATACATGGGAGGGCAAACAATTGAGATTCTTATTTTATCACTATAGAATGTTTAGAAGTGTTCTTGCCAAAAAGTGAATCATATATTTATTTTATTTTGTTTTTTAAGGTTTAAGAAGATTTCAAAATTAATGTTTGCCCCTCACTTTTGGTAAGCTTTGGGAGTTTGGAGATTAGACTGATTATGTTTGTAGTTAATACATTTTTATATTTCACTGTAATGGATAAGCCCAAGGTAGTAAAAAACTCCATCTATATGATTTTATTTATTAATTATCAATGTGTCATGGGCATCTAAATAGTTGACTATTACATACTCACCTGAAATTATGTATCTTTTGTATTAAAAATCATTTTAATTTTAATTATGTTTTATTGACAGATTTGTTTTCTAGTGCCTATGTACTTATGCTTGATTATCATTATTTTTAGAAAAAAAAACACAACAAAAAACCTGAAGGTAGCTTCTCCTTTAATTTAAATATGCTTGAACTCTTTTTAAAAATCAATTTGCATTCTTAATTATTCCTTAGGCTCCATAAAGTTTATTGTTTTTCCTTTTTAAAATTGACACATTTTCTTTTAATTCATGGATCAGAATAAAATTAATTAGTCCTAGTGTGAGGATTTAGAAGGGAAGAGTTTCTTAAGATACAATTGTTTTAGTGATTATGGTAGACTAGATATTTCATTAAAACAACTCTAAGTTAAATGTTATTTGGTCTTTGGGGACTTTTATATGCAAGATGGGGTACAGTATTGTGCATTGCAATAAAATTTCTCCAATGAATGAGTCACATCAAAATTACAGGCTGAGAGAGATGAATAGTTATAGTATGTACCATAACCAATTCCATATTTTTTCTTTATTCCATAGAATTGACTGTGACTGGAAATGTGACATCTTTTCAATCTTTGTATCATGCTATAAAAATAAGTAGCAATTTTTAAATGATTCTACATGGAAAAAATAAAAATGCATTTCTTTATTTCATTTATGTGTTATATAGTTTTCATCTTAATTTAAATTTGACTCATAAACTCTATTTTCCAAATTTTAACTCAAAAAGTACCACAGAATTTCAATTTTGACTTGGAAGTACTACAATTATATCTAAACTATGTATAAAATGGTGTGTGAAATTGTGCTTGTTATTGTTTTCTAGCCAGTCATTTCAATAAATTAATATTTTATGCATATATATGTCTTTTTGTGTTTATTATAATTTTTAAACCTAATTACCTCTTTAACATTAATGTTAGATAATTACTATTGTTAAATAACCTTGGGAAAATTGAAATTAAATGGAATGTTTTGAATTAATTATTAAAGATATCAAAAAGTAGAGGGAAAAGATTGTGTTTGCTCTAGAAATTCTTGGTTTACATCCATAGTCCCTGTTAATCCATTATACCTATGCCTTTCATCCTCAGAAGTACCCAGCATCAGCTGTCAAATTTTATGATTCCCCTCCCCCCGACAAAAAAGGTTCAAATGTAAAATCTGATTCACAGCTCTGCAACATAGCAGCTAAGTCAAACTTTGGAAGTTACTGGATTTTTGGAGCTTCAATTTCCACATCTATATAACAGCCAACTCAAAGGGTTTTATTGATGTTTGAATGTGATTAGTGCACTGAACAGGACATGATAAGTGTTTCCTGTTGATCCATATTACTGACTTGACTTAGAGAAACAAGAACCAGTACCACAATCAGAATGAACCGAGTTACATGATTTTAGCCAGTAATGCCCAAGAATCAAAGACCTACAGGATGTTGCCTGGCCTGTTTGGCTCAGTTGGTTGAGTGTTGTCCCATGCACCAGGAGGTCACTGGTTCCGTTCCTGATCAGGACACATGCCTGTGCTGCTGGCTCCATACCCAATACGGGGCTTGCAGGGTGCAACCTATCAATGCTTCTCTCTCTGCCTCTCGCTTTCAAATTAATGTTAGAAAAAAAGATAAAAAAAATTTTAAAAGACCTACAAGAGACTCTGATATTCATTGTTTCTGACAGTGGAGTAATTGTTTCATTGTAATGGATTATCCCTCTACCAACTCCTGCAAGTATACACTCAAGTCCATCCACTTGAGTTCACACAATGATTCATCTCTAGCAATTATTCCATCTTTCCTGCATCCTGAATGTTTTCATCATCTTCAGGATCAAGTGCAAACCAAACTTATTCTATCATATCTTTTATCTTAAATGAAAAAAATTCCATCTTTAACAATACACCTCCAAATCCCTCTCAATTCTTTAGATTACTCTCTGGCCATTAGCATAAAAGTACCCATACCGCCTTTTCAAATATCTTGTATGCTATTCTCTCATTAGCCTGGTCTCATCAAGGTTTTGTTCCTACTGAAACCACATGTTTTTCCAAGATCACCAACAACTTTTATCATGATAAACTGTGTTCATATTAGCATCCTCTCAATGCTATTTGGTAGAGTTGATCATCATTTCTTTTTTGAAATATCATACTTGTCTTCATTTGAAATCCTAAACCTGTTAAAACCTTGGTTTTTCTCTTAACTCACTAGTTACTTCTTTGCAGTCCCTTCTGATATTTCCTTTTACAAACCTTTTAGGGTTGGAATACCCTAACAGCTAGCCTTAATCTGGCTGATTATTTTGTTCCATGGCTTTAATCCATCCATAGTCTGAGAGCATCTATATTTATACCTTCAAATTTACATCTATCCTCATCTCCAAACTTATACATTACACTTGCTTTCTTGACCTCCACACCTGAGTAACTAATTAATATCACAAACCTGGCATGGCCAAGCATAACTCTTCATCCAGATCCAGACTCTAACTTGCTTAAATTTAGTTGAGCATATCTCAGTAAGAAAGACAACTGCTACAATGGTATGTAGGCAATAGATTCACTTGAATGGGCACTTCACAAACAGAATAACTTAATAGCCAATAAACATATGTAAAGGTATTCAGCATCATTAGACCTCAGGAAAATGCAGATTAAAGATGCCATACAATATCATGACACAATCATCAGAATAATAAAATAAAAAGAAAATTGTCATGCCACGTGTTCGCAAACAAGCAACAGGAATACTGAACAATGCTGATGAAAACAAGCACCTTGGAAAGCAGTGTCAGCCTTTGTGCAAGATAAACATTTTCATATTTTATGATAAGTGGGTCCACTCAGGTATATAGCAAACAGAAATAATATATATGTGCACTAAATATATGTACCCCATGTTCTTGGCAGTATTATTCTCAAGATCTTAAACTAAAATCAACACTAATGTAAATCAACAGTATTTTGTATAAATAAATTGTAATATACAATGGAATGGAATATCATACGGTCACACAGATGTGAATGAGCGACTGCCACACACGCCATTGTGGATGAATTTTATATAATATTATTGACTGAGAGTAACCAGACAAAATAGAATAGATTCACAACCCCATTAATAGACTCTATTGGAATCTATAGACAAATTAATTTCTGGTGCAATAAGTTAGACTAGTCGTTATCTGAGAGGAGTTCGTTCTTGTTAAGGAATATGAGAGGTTCTCTCAGATGCTAGTGATATTCTTTCCATGAACCTGGATGATGAATAATTTATAGCAATTATTTTCATAAGTGAATTTTTCAAAGTGAATGTTTGTTACTTTTAAATTTTAAATATAGCCTGGCCGGTGTGGCTCATTGGTTGAGCCTTAACCTCTGCACCAGGAGGTCACCAGTTCAATTCCCAGCCAAGTCGCATGCCCAGGATGTGAGCCAAATTCCCAGTGGGGGGCATGGAGGAGACAGCCAGTCAATGATCTCTCTCATTGATGTTTCTAGCTCTCTCCTTCTACCTTCCTCTCTCTCTAAAATCAATAAAGAAAAAAATTTTTTTAGTTTAAATGTATATTACATTTAAAATCATGTTCTTCTTCTTCAGTGTCTTGCCCTCTTGCTTCTTCTTCCCTGTGTGTGGGGCTCACCAATGCAGAATCACCTCTTCACATTCGGACTTGAATACAATTCAGTAATATGGCATAGGACCTGGTTTCCTCAGAGCTGTGCAGCGACTGGATAATGCTATTGTGAAATGCATGGCTTTAGCCTCATTAGGGTGAAATTTTACTTTATTTTTATTTTTAAATAAGTTTTTTTTTCTGTTTTTATTAATTTATTTCTGTTACAGATTTTTCTCCTATTTCCCCCTAGACACCCTCTTTCTCATCCTGCCCACCCAACCCCAGCATTGTTATCTATGTCCATTGGTTATGCATACATGCATATAACTTCTTTGGTTTGTCTCATCCATCCCCCCAACACCTTCCTCCGAGGTCTGTCAGTCTGAACCATATTTCTTTCTATGTCTTTGGGTCTATTTTGTTCATCAGCTTATGTTGTTCGTTATATTCCACAAATAAGAGAGGTCATATGGTATTTGTCTTTCTCTGATTGGCTTGTTTCCCTTAGCATAATACTTTCCAGAGCCCTCCATGTTGTCTCAAAGGATAAAAGATCTCTCTTTCTTACAACTGTATACTGTTCCATTGTGTATATGTACCACAGCTGTTTTATCCGTTCATCTATTGATGGACACTTGGGTTGTTTCCAGATCTTAGCAATTGTAAATAGTGCTGCTGTGAACATAGAGGTACATTAATTCTTTCTGATTGGTGTTTCAGGCTTCTTAGGGTATATTCCTAGAAGTGGGATCACTGGGTCAAATGGCAGATCAATATTTAATTTTTTGAGGAAACACCATATTGCTTTCCATAGTGGTTGCACCAGTCTGTATTCCCACCAACAATGTACTAGAGTCCCCTTTTCTCCACACCCTCACCAGCTCTTGTTGTTTGATGATTTGCTGATGACAGGCATTCTGGCAGGTGTGAGGTGATACCTCATAGTGGTTTTAATTTGAATCTCTCTGATGAATACTGACGTTGAGCATTTCTTCATTTGTCTCTTGGCCATTTGTACATCCTGTTTGGAGAGGTGTCTATTTAGGTCTTCTTCCCATTTTTTAATTGGGTTCTTTGTCTTCCTTTTGTTGAGTTGTATGAATACTCTATATATTTTGGAAATTAACCCCTTATCTGATGTATCATTGGCAATTATGCTCTCCCACATAGTGGGATCTCTTTCATTTTGTTGCTTGTTTCTTTTGCTATGAAGAAGCTTTTTGGTTTGATGTAGTCCCATGTGTTCATTTTTTTTGTTTGTTTCCATTACCTTAGTGTCTATTTCCATTGTTTCTATTGTAGCAGTGAAATTCTGCTGCATGTGATGTCTGAAATTGTGTTGCCTATACTTTCTTCAGGGATGTTTATGGATTCATGAATCACATTTAAGTCTTTTATCCATTTTGAGTTTATTCTTGTATATGGTGTAAGTTGGTGGTCTAGTTTATTTATTTATTTTTTTTGCATGTAGCTCTCCAGTTTTCCCAATACCATTTATTGAGGAGGCTATCTTAACTTCACTGTATGTTCTTGCCACCTTTGTCAAATATTAATTGAGCATAATGTCTTGGGTCAGTTTCCAGGTTTCGTGTTCTGTTCCATTGATCTATATGCTTATTCTTGTGCCAGTACCAGGCTGTTTTGATTACAAAGGCTTTTTAGTATAACCTGATAACCAGTACTCTGATCCCTCCTACTTCGTTCTTTTTCAAGATTGCTGTGGCTATTCAGGGTCTTTTTTTGGTTCCATATGAACTTCTAAAGTATTTGTTCTAGTTCTGTGAAATATGTGCTTGGTATTTTAATGGGGATTTCATTGAATTTATAGATTGCTTTCGGTAGTATGGACATTTTAATGATGTTAATTTTTCCTATCCCTGAACAAAGTATGTGCTTTCACTTTTTTATATCTTCCTCCATTTTTTTTCAATGTCCTGTAGTTTTCTGCAAACAGGTTCTTTACTTCTTTGGTTAATTTTATTCCTAGGTATCTTAATTTTTTTCCTGCAATGATAAATAGGATTTTTTTTTTTTTTTTTTAGTTTCTCTTTTTGTGAATTCTTATTGGTGTATAAAAATACCATTGATTTCTTGATGTTAATTTTGTATCCTGCTACTTTGCCAAATTTGTTTATTAAATCTAGCAGATTTTTAATAAAGTCTTTAGGGCTTTTTATGTACAATATCATGTCATCTGCGAATAATGGCAGTTTCACTTCCTCCTTTTCAATTTGGATCCCTTTTATTTTTTCTTCATTTCTGATTCCAGTATCATGTTAAATAAGAGTGGTGAAAGTGGGCATTCCTGTCTTATTTCTGTTCTTAAGGGAATGTTTTTAATTTTTTCCCATTGAGTATGATGTTGGCTGTAGGTTTTCATATATAACCTTTATTATGTTGAGATATGACCCCTCTATTTCTACACTGCTGAACGTTTTTATGAGAAATGTGTGATAGATTTTGCTGAAAGGTTTTTCAGTATCTATTGGTTTTTATCTTACATTTTGTTTATGTGGTGTATCACATTTATTGATTTGTGAATATTGTACTAGCCATGCATCCCTGGGATAAATCCCACTTGGTCATAGTGAATATATATATTTTTAATCCTCACCTGAGGAGAGTTTTGCATT